GGGTGTATTTAAGGGTAGTTTGGGAAGATAGTGGGGTTTTCTTAGAAATTGTGAAAATTTAAATTAGAAGTTGGGGTGAACAAAGAGAAGTGTGGGGTTTAAATAGAAAATCTCTTAAATATATATATATTTATTAGTCAAATATATATATATACCAAACCAAGATGAGGCCCAACTTTGCCTCCACTAGGTCCATACCCTATTTTGGGTTTCTAAAGTATTGGTGCTTATAAACCTTGAAAGGAAACAACTCCCTTCCAATGGGGGACTAAGTGAAAGTGTATTTTCCTATATAAACTCTAACAGCCAATGTTTTCACTGTGTTTCTCACTCGTGAAAGGTTTCAGTTTCTTGTTCCCGAGCTCAAAATCAACATATTTTCATTTCTCTTGCCGGGGGTGGGGGGGTTAAAGAGAGTTATCCCACATTTACGCATTCTTCTCCCCCAAATCTGCAATCAACGACATCTTATCCTCCAAGTTTGCAGTTTTCAGCCACCCCATCTTGATTGCCCTTAATTATCAAGGACAATTCCTAGAATATCTGTAATCGGATCCTTAGAGCAGTTCCAGTAGTTTCCCCTTGCCATGGCAAAGGGAGGGGGGGGGGCACCTTGCAAAAAGCCAATGTTGGTTTCCAGTAGTTGCCATGGCAAAGGGCAAATACTATTCATTTTTTTAATTTTTTTTGCAAATTTGTTTACCTAAATAATTAATTTGGACAATATTTTCGAATCAGATTTTTGTTTTCCTACGTGTCAATACAACTAATCTTCAAAATAAAACATTAAAATACATGAATTACAACTAATTTTCAAAATAAAACATTAAAATACAATGAAAATAAAAGGCAAGCAAACTAACTTAATGGTTTTGATCATTTAACTAATCCGTGTTGCTAGGTCCATCGTCACGAAAAAGTCTTCGTCTCATATATAACATCCCTTCGTTCTAGCTTCCAAAATTGTTTTGTTTCAGGGGACATACGGCTTCTATCCATGGCCATGGTTTCCCGATCCTGCTTCTCAATGTTTTGCTTGCGTACATACTCCCTTTCTTTTACACATTCCGCTTGAAATATCCTCTCATCTTCTTGGTTTCTCTTCTCCATTTCAAGTCTCATGGCGTTTTGCCTTACAATTTCCTCCAAAAATTTAGATGAATTACTAGTAGAATTACTCACTCTCTTCGCCTTCGCCGCCTTTCTCCCAATAGGCCTCAGCTCCTTTTGGATGGGTGAGTCTTCGCTCATCGGGGAATCAAGAGGCGAATCCGATGCCTTTGAATTATAGAGTGGCGTCTCGTTCAACACAACGGTCGGACCCGTGGGAATAATTCTGAAAGGTTTGCAATTTTTGACTACCTCCCAACATTCATGATGGGAAAAAGATTTTTTTCCTTGCCCAGTAGCACCAAACCACATTTGTACTTGCACAATCTATTTATAAAAAAACATTGGAAATACAAGAAATATTAAAAAAATATTGGCAATGCAAGAAACATTAAAAAAATATTGGCAATGCAAGAACTATTAACAAAATATTGGGTATTTATGAAATATTAACGAAATATTGACAATGCAAGAAACATTTATAAAAAAAATATTAGGACATTAAAATTCATAAAACAAAAATTACAAATAATTTACCTCATCGGCAAGATTTTCCCCGCTTTTACTGTTGTCCATCGCTTTTGTCAAGGTATCTCTCTATTTCCCAAACTCTTTATTGAGAATTTTCCACCTATTAGACAATGTCATTTCTGTACGGTTTGAACTCAATCTTCCACAAAATTCGGAATGAATTTTTTTCCACATATGCGAGAATTTTATCTCATTGTGTTGTCCATCGCTTTTGTCATGGTATCTCTCTATTTCCCAAACTCTTTATTGAGAATTTTCCACCTATTAGACAATGCCATTTCTGTACGGTTTGAACTCAATCTTCCACAAAATTCGGAATGAATTTTTTTCCACATATGCGAGAATTTTATCTCATTGCCCGAGACGGGACAATGAGAAATTTGGACCCAACACTCACACAACAAAACATCTTCCATGGTGCTCCATGCCCCAACACCATCGATAGAAGAAGCCATAAAGATGATATGGAAAAATAAAACTTGAAAGTGAATAAAATGTTGAGTAAAAAGTGAATAGTAGTAGAAGTAGAAGAAAATATATGAGGATTTGGTGTTGAAAGTGAAGAGTATTGGTAGGTATTTATAGAAAAAAATTCCAGTATTTTTTGGTATTTTTTTTCATATTTTTATTGCAAAAATATTGACTGCCGTTGGATTGGAGAGAAAATCACGATCGGAGCACCCAAACGACGACACGTGGCCCAGATCCGTTGGAGTAGTGCAGGGCTAACGTCAGCACGCGGAGTTCAAATTTTTTTACCATTGGCACGTGCATTGCACACGCCAACAGTAAAAAAATTTAAGCTCCGCTCGCTGACGTTAGCCCGCCCTCGTTTTGGAACTGGGGCTCGACTTGCCCTCGGGCTAGCCCAGGTTGCTGGGTCCCGCCTCTTGCCCGAGCTTCATTTTGTTGCTAGAAACAGGTTCCCCCCAACCCCTTCTGCTGGAACTGCTCTTAGGGATAACTTAGATTGATTTGTGTTATTTACTTACTGTAAATAGGGACTCTAGAAAGTCTATGCCTCAATCAAGTATTCAAGAGACAATCAAGTCATTCACATCCTAAATCTTTCAATATCTACATATATATCTTCCAATTTGGGCCTACAAACCACAATTTCCACCACTATAGCCTTTTCCTTTTCTCTTTCATTTTTTCTTTTGGCGTGGTAGTGCGGGTAATAACAACAAACACCTGCCCTAGCAAGGTTAATTACTACAGGACACAGTGAGTCACGGGCCAATCTCATGGTCAAAAGTAGCACACCAATGCAGCTTAAATGCTAAGATCCCATAATCAGAAGAAATAATCCATAAGTTGAGTAATTGATGTTCTTTTCCAAATTACTTAGGTCGGCAGCTATACAATATTTATACAATATCAAAGCCGAACATAAGTTTCTTACGTTGCAAAACAATTTGATACAAATTAAAGAAGTAAAACAAGAGGGGGGACTAATTCAATCTTATCTCATCTCATATACATTCACAGTACATTGCATATGGCCATTTGACATTGGACCAATATGCATATACAATGCATTTTTCATGTGCTTATGAAAGTTAATCAACGAAAGATGAGTGTTTCAGTGGCTAGCCTATAGTTTTACAACTCTTATCACTTTCGTGTACACTCGCTAGTGGTGGGGAAACTAAATTATTCGCATTCAAAAAGTTATGCATGAGCACTTGCGTGTAAAGGTACGTGTATTTGATTGTCATTATGCAACACTTAGAAAACGATAGAAATGCGTTTTTCTTGTGGGAATATATATATATATATATATATATATATCCATTGTTTTGAGATTTTATTATGAGATGGCCTATAACGTTAATTTCAACTCTAATAAGCTATGCAAACAGTTGAAATTGACGTTAATTTGCATGACGTGAGACGGCCGCCTAGAACTATATGATACTATTTTATTTTCTTCATTCAAACACAACGTTTATTTCAATTAACTCTAGAATCATTAGCCTCAATTGAGTCAGTAAACACCAAGTTTTCAACAAAAACATAACCAGAGAGAAGTATATATGCAAACGGGAAAAGCTTTTTAACTAACAATAGTCAACTAGAATCTTATAAAACTAGAGTTTTCATTATTCTCTGTGCATAAGTACCATGGGGACTTGAAGTCAGAACCACTTGGGCACACCAAATACATGTGCCAATCCAACCAACACACCTGTAACATCCCACATCGACCAACGGAGAGGGGATGATATGCCTTATATATACATGCCCACCTCCATCTAGCACGAGGCCTTTTGGAAGCTCACGGGATGTGACAACACCATTGGTAAAATTGATTAGTTGTTGGTGAACCTTTTTATAAATTAAAAAAATAGCTTTATATATGAAGCAATAGATAGAAATATCATAACGTAGTACATCAAATAGCTAAAGAGGTCCATCTTCAAGTTATACATGAAAATCAGAAAACAAAATCGCAGTGCATTCTTCGAAAGAGTATACGCACCGGGTATATACTGACAATGACAAATTACAGAAAATTAAAAGGAAAAATGCGATCTTGATTCCTCCACAAAAGCTCTCCCTTTAAACATAATTTTTTTTATAAAAAAAATATACATTTGAAAAGGAAATTTAGGGTTATACATATTTAAAACGAAAAAATAAATTTGGGTAACCATTGAAATTGGAGTGCACCACTTTTCACATGGCAATATGCAATTTACACTAGTAAACAACTTGGTAGAAACAAAACTGTTCAAATCGAAGGATGGTAGCTGTCAGCCCTTTGTATTTTACCATGTCACGACTTAAATGTGGTCCACCTGTGCCTTTCTCGTTGTCTAATCTTCAATAATTCAAATTAGTAATTAAAACATGCCGATTAAATAGTAAGTCTTGGTCTTTCTGGAAAAAAAAAAAGTAAGTACTCTTGGTCTCTATAAATAGTAGCTCCACTCCTCGCTGCAAAGATGTGCATGCATTTGTGTTGTGTTTGTTGCAAATTTGATCTCTCCTTGAATTCCTGGCTATATAGACAAGTTTCTTGAAAACTTACACGGTGTGGGCAAAATATAATATCTTTATACTATGTCTTTAGACTTTAGCTTCCTTGATTTACACTTTTGCTTCTATAAACTGCATGCCATGCATTTGACAAACTATTCTGAATGTTACTCTGCACTTATGTATGCATTTTGTAAATTTTGTGAGTGGATTTTGCAAGTTTTGATTCAAAAATGACTTTTCGTTTTGAAAAGGAACGATTCGAAATCAAAACCCCTTTCTCCCAAACCAAAAGGATTTTCAACTCTAAATTTGTAAAACTTGTGAACATCTGATTTAGAACTTCATCATTTCATATGTGTGTACTTGTTAAGTATTGTTAGTGAATGGAGCTTTCGTGAAGTACAAACATTAGCTTGAGTGGGTAGAGTAATTAACAAAATTTGGAAGAAATTACATTTATGCATGCATGCATGAGTAGTGCTAGAGTACTGCTAATCTTTCATTAGAAGCCTAAGCCAGTTTTAATTAACTTGAAATGAAAAACACCCATTTAATTTAAGAGAAAAACTACTTGCCCAAATTTTTTAAAATAAAAACTAGCGAACGTTAAGAGGAACAACTTAATTATATATAAGTACACACAAATATATACTTTTATATATATTGAATATTTTCTTCTAACTAAGTTCGTGATTCTTTGAATGTGCAGAAAAGAAAGTAGGCAATGGCTAGCCAATTGGCCCTCCAACGACTGAAGAATCTCCTCAGGTACTCATTATTATTTTGCTATTTAATTTCTGTAGATTCCTATGATTGACCTTGTTTCAAGAGCACACGCAACATGGAAAGAAAGTACACTTAAAGATGTTATTGAGCTCAACCAATTGAGTTGTACTCCACTGATCAAGTTGTTTTTGTTTTGAGTAACAATAGCATCATGTACAAAAAACTCAACATTTCCGTCACATGCTGTATATCTTTAATTTATAAATTATAACCAAGTGTTCATAGATTATATATGAAAATTCAGCCACCAGAATTAAAATAAATTTTATGGCTAAATCTAATATTTTGCTACAAAATCTTTTCCAAAAACCATGTGCTTAATTTATAGTTTAACAATATATGCAAAATTTGACAATTTTGGTTGGTATATATGGTTGCAGTGAGAAGGGAGAGCTGGACGATGTGGCTGCCGCCAAAATTGAGAAGTTGACGGCTGAGTTGGAAAAACCTGGTGATTTTAACCCAGTTCAAAGGATTGTAGATGGCTTCATCCACTTCAGGATCAACAAATTCGAGTAAAAGATCGGATATATTTTTCAAACGTTAAATCATATATGAATGATTAAATTCGTGAAAAGCATCTCAACCACTGCCACAATTCAGAAAAAAAATCATCATTGAAGGACTTTATGTTGAATAACATAAAGTGTAACATTGAAAATTTATATAATGAATTGTTCCTTTTTGTAATAAAACCTCACTTATTAAATTTTATAATATTAGTGTTGGTAGTAATTAGCCGTCTTATACCCAAAGTACAAAATAAATAATAGGTGGATATTCTTGAAAATTTGAAAATCTAATAATATTTTTCATTGTTTCTTAAATATATTTTTGGGCTGATCTTGCAGAAAATATCCAGACTGTTTCAACGAGCTTGCTGTTGGACAAAGCCCCAAGGTACAATTTGGGCTTCAGTAGATTAGGTCTAGCATCTTAAAATTAATTAGTATATAGCTTAATAACATATTAATAAAATTTTATGTTTTGTTTCAATGCAGTTTCTGGTATTTGCATGCTCGGACTCCCGAGTAAGCCCCTCACATATCCTTAATTTCCAACCTGGGGAGGCCTTCATGGTTCGCAACATTGCTAACATGGTTCCTGCATTTAACCAGGTTCAATACTCTCTCTCTCTCTCTCTCTCTCTCTCTCTCTCTCTCTCAAGTGATTACTCTCTCTCTCTCTCTCTCTCTCTCTCTCTCTCTCTCTCTCTCTCTCTCTCTCTCTCTCTCTCTCTCTCTCTCTCTCTCTCTCTCTCTCTCTCTCTCTCTCTCTCTCTCTCTCTCTCTCTCTCTCTCTCTCTCTCTCTCTCTCTCTCTCTCTCTCTCTCTCTCTCTCTCTCTCTCTCTCTCTCTCTCTCTCTCTCTCTCTCTCTCTCTCTCTCTCTCTCTCTCTCTCTCTCTCTCTCTCTCTCTCTCTCTCTCTCTCTCTCTCTCTCTCTCTCTCTCTCTCTCTCTCTCTCTCTCTCTCTCTCTCTCTCTCTCTCTCTCTCTCTCTCTCTCTCTCTCTCTCTCTCTCTCTCTCTCTCTCTCTCTCTCTCTCTCTCTCTCTCTCTCTCTCTCTCTCTCTCTCTCTCTCTCTCTCTCTCTCTCTCTCTCTCTCTCTCTCTCTCTCTCTCTCTCTCTCTCTCTCTCTCTCTCTCTCTCTCTCAAGTGATTAGTTATTCTAATCAAACTAAATATAAGTTTTAACAATTTATCTCACACTAATCATGTATTAGACAGCTAAAATAAGTTCGTTTATATGGCTTGCAGCAAAAATACGTAGGAGTTGGAGCGACCATTGAATATGCTATAACAGCACTTGGGGTGAACATTCCAAAAACTTTAGATTTAATTAATTATTAATTACTAGGTATTTTCTCTTCACTTCTTATTACAATATTTATGAATGATAACAAGAGAAGAAAATTTGACAGGTAGAAAACATTTTGGTCATTGGACACAGTCGTTGTGGTGGGATCAAGAGGCTTATGACTCATCCAGAGGATGGTTCTGTTCCCTTGTAAGTTTAGCTTGTGGAAGATTCATAATCGTTTATGAGGATGAAATGCTTTTTGTTCGTTACCAATTTTTTAATAATTAATAACGCAATACTAAAAAATATTCAAAGAGCATTTGTATCCACAAATAGAGTTTGTATTAGCACTTTTTCGTGCACAATATACTATACGACACTCCTTTAAAATATTGGCCACGAAGAGTGTCAATACAAACTCTGTGTGTAGTGTAGACACAGCTCGATCTACCTATATTTTTAGTAGTGTGGTTTGTTCCAAACACATGAAAGATTCTATTGCTTCTTCAAAAATCACTAAAAGTCTTACTCTTGTATATTTTAGTCAAACTCTATAAATGCCTTTTTTTTCTAGCCAATCAACTAAGCAATGAAAAACTTTATTACCAAAAGGGAGCACAAATCATAATAACTTGCTAATGGTATACAACGTTGCGTCCATTTTGATTGGAATTTGCAGTGACTTCATAGATGAATGGGTTAAAATTGGTCTACCAGCCAAGGCTAAGGTTATAGCAAATGGACTGGGTGGGCATGATATTGATGAACAATGTGAGGCTTGTGCAAGGGTAAGCTAATAATATAGCACCAACTCTTTTATACTTTTCCATCTTTAACTCAATGGTAAATTTACAAGGCATATATACATTGTACACTCGGTTCAGTTCTCCATGATTGAAATAAATCTCACTCAGCATCTTCTTGAACAATGATTTTATGCAGGAATCAGTAAATTTATCACTGGTAAACCTGCAAAGTTATCCATACGTTCAAAAGGCGATTTCTAACAGAAATCTAGCACTCCGGGGTGGTTACTATGACTTTGTCCATGGAGTTTTCGAGCTCTGGGAGCTTGAGTCACACATTTCACCCCCTATCATCATACCAGCACCTTAATTGCTAGCTTACATGAAGCATCATCAAGGTGTATATGTGCCTCTGCCAATAAAAGTGACAATAAATAAATAAAGCAGATGAGGCGCCCTAGTGATAGTGGTACTGCTTGGTCTCGTATCAGTTTCGGTTGGTTCTTTTTTGTCAATGTTTGTGTGATGTTGCTTGTTTTCTTTAGTTGAATTAAGAACTTCATGTCCCCTTTGTAATTTCAAGGAAACTGTGTAATAATTAGCAGCTATTATCTGCTGCCCTCTATATGATATTTGTTTGCCATGCTTAGTTGAATTGTCGTTTCTTTCTTGGGTTTAGAAGCAGCTCTTAAGCAACTACAAATCTGTAATTGATTCATCCCTAATTTTAGCTCGCTCAAATAACGATCATCCACTTCGCTTAAATAATGGTTCATCCACTTATCTGCTAATGCTACCCCACCTCACCAATTAGAGAATTCATAAACTCTTAATCTAGTGATACTTCTTTTCCTAACGTTGAAAGACATTCCAAATTTGAACCCCTGTCCTCGCTAATATAAAAATAAGGCTTAAATGTCAAAATGGTCCCTATGTTTTATTGTGTTAGCCAATTTAGTCCCTGTGTTTTTAATTTGGAAAATTTAGTCCCTGTGTTTAGTACCGTTAGCCAATATGATCCAATTTGTTAATTTTCTGTTAAAAAGTTTTTAAAAACTAATATAATAATTGAATTGAATAATAAAAGAGATCCAAAAACAAAAACAATAAAAATAAAAATAAAATTGTATAGGCCATGCCTCAGCTACCTCCCCCTGCCCGCCCATGCCTCTGCTGCCATCAAAACGCTAACACACACAAAACAGAATTGTATAGGCCACTACAACTCTCACCCCACCACACCCCACCACCACCCAACAACCCCAAAAAAAATCTATGCCCCCCTGTTCATCACCACAAATTCAACCACTTTTGCTGATGATCTCCTTCTCTTAGTCTCTTCCTTTTGTCCATCAACAATTTGAGGTACTTCTCTCTCTGCAGGATGCACCCAACTCACCTATTTGTGTATCAATCTCTCCAGGGCTCTTTTGCTCATGTGGATTCTCAATTTACCTTCTTGGAAAGAATTGTCAATCTTGGTTTGGTGTGGGGAAGGTTTTGAACAAGTTTTTTATGCTAGTACAGCATATGGGTTCTATGAGGATTCCGATGCAAAATTGGGTTTGGAAAGTCTTTGTTTATCTGGAATTGGAGCTGGTGATTGGGGCTTGCTTTGGAGAAGCTGTAGAAAGCTGAAGGAACTGAAGGGATTTGCTATGGAGGGTCTTTTTTGTCCTTTGATATGTTTTAATGAAGTCTTAATATTTTTAAGTTAATTCAAAAAAATTTAATAATTAATTTTAAAAGGTTTTTAGGATTTTAAAAGAAAAAAAGGTTCATAATATAATTTAACGGTAAAATAACGGATTGGACCAAATTGGCTAACGGTGCTAAATACGGGGATTAAATTGGCCAAATTAAAAACACATAGACTAAATTGGCCACCACGATAAAACATAGGAATCATTTTGACATTTAAGCCTAAAAATAATAAATAAATAACTAACTAACTAAATGGTGATATGATCAAATTTGATGTAAAAAGCTGGTAACTAACATGCCTCCCTTGTTTTTTTTTGGGCTTAATTCCGGTTTTACCTGCTAAGCTCGAATGTCAATCCCAATTTAGCGCCTGGAACTCAAAAAATCACACACCCTCCAGAACCTTACTCCATGTCCCAGTTTACCATCCATCCACAAAATCGTTAAGTTGCTGATGTGGAATGAACATTTTGATAATTTTAGTTATTAAAAATTTAAAGTATATTTAAAGCATTTTAAAAATATTAAAACTTAAATAAAGATAAATAAAAATTTACACGAACCAAAAAAACAAAAAGAAAAACCAACGGTCCTTCCTATAGCCCAAGTACACATTAAGTTGAGTCGTCCTTGGGCCGGGCCCGTACTTGGGCCAAAATACCACCCCATTCAACTTTGAATTTTTATAATTTCCTTTTGTTAAGCTCATGGTAGCATATTTAATTGGTATTAGAATATTATAATATGTTCATACCTTTCACTAATAAATTCAAATGTAAAGTACAATTTATATGCTTGGGCCAATACATTGTATATGGGAGATATCTCATTCTACTGTTTTATTTGGGAGATAGCTCATTCTAGCAAAAAATGGTATGGTTCTTATATGATTAATTTTGTGGGTTCTATTATGTTATAATCTCAATTTTGGGAGGGTAGTGATGTAGAACACATGGCTGAAGCGATAGAGGAGGAGCTGGAGCTACGTGCTCTCAAAGGCGAAACCGACAAATTAAAATTTTGGGCCCGAGCTACGATTTGGGCCCATGACCCACCGTTTCGACGCTGTTCTTGCACTTGTTAACTCAAGTTGTATAATCACAGACTCAGCTTGCATAGCCTTCTCGGCTTTCTATAGTGTGTTGGGCAAACAAAGAAGGGCTGTGTAGAATAGGTTTTCGGTGACCATCAAGTGGGGGTAGAGAAAGTTGTCTTGGGTTACAAAGCCGTTGTTTCTTTTTACTAGGTTTGAGAATGGTTTGTTGTTGTAGGTTATGGCGCCACCGAGGAGAGTCATTTCACCACTCCCGAAGGAGCCGAGAATGGCGAGGATTTTGGCCGTTTGAACCAGGCATGAGACACCCTTTAAGATCACTTTCTCTTTGTTCTTAGTACTCTTCTTCATATTGATATTGTAAATCAAGTCTTCAATGTAACAAGTCGAATCGTTTCCTTCAAGATAGTTGGGGCTTTAGAAGTTTTAATCCTTCTAAGTCTACTTGTGTTTGGATACCATCGGCAGCAAGATCAACCGATACAGTTTTAGAGCCTTTTGAGGCTACCTCTAAGTGATAGTACTTTACTATAAGCCTATTTATTAAAATTATTGAACCCAACCAAGCCCAAGTCCACCTTGAGTTGGGTTGTGCTTTGGCCGGGCTCGTGCTTCGGCCAAAGCAACATCCCATTTAACTTTAAGTTTGTTTTACTTTATTTTTTTGAACTCGTGTTAACATATTAAATTAATATTATAATATTATAATATGTTCATACCTTTCTTTAATAAATTCAAAAGACGGTATGTTTCTTATATGCATAATTTTGTGGGTTCTCTATTACGTTAAAACCTATTTTTTGGGAGGGTAGGCTAGGAGATGTGGTTTATGTTAAGTGGGCCTTCATGAATAAATAAAAGTTAAGCGGGCGCGAGGCTTAAAGTTGGCTTGGGCCAAGCACGGCCTATGAAGGGCTCTCGGTTGCGGGCTGGTCCTGTTTAACTGGATTTAATTTCTTATCCTGGCATGGTTTAAGCTTTAGTGTCGTGCCTAATATGGCCCACTTGGGCCGTGTAAAGCGCCATTTAGACAGGTTGGACTCGTGTCATGTTGGAGTGACCCTTCCCATTTGACATCTCTAAATGGGAACACACTGCATAAGGTTTGCTGCATGCCTACTATATCTTTAATTTCACACTAATCTCCTATCATCTTAATTCAAGAAAGAATAATAGTCAAATTTACAAGGTTACAAGGAATAGTTCCTATTTGGTCTTCAATTCATCCAAGCATGAAATTAGCATTCAAATCAAACTAAAGCAACTTTATTATGTTCTCATCGCACTTCGGCTCCTTAAAACTTGCTCTTGCCAACGAGCCATAACCAGTCAAGGGAAACACCTGCAAATATGCCGCACAAAAGAAACATCACAAGTATATTTCCGAAGGCATTTTGCTCTGGTCCATCCAAATAAAAGAACCCAAAGACATTAATTAACTTTCATGAGAAACCAGTAAAAGTAACTTATATTAAGAACGGGTTATGAACCATGTTGACCAACCTTGTAACCCTTGGGTGCCACTGTCATGACACAGACAGTGAAATAACCATTAATCATAAGATTTATGTGAGGAAGATCATCCATCCCTGGTTGCATATTTTCCAGTGAAGTAGTATGTTGGAACGAACATGAGACACAATAGAATTGCATCATGGGGCCCTTCCTCGATTCAATCTTCAGACATTTCACAAGGGGTATGTATCTTGATATCAAATCCAACACATTGTACATTGCCACAAGAACAAGTGGATACTTGAGACCAGGCAATGACACCAAATTTCTTATTTTGTAAATTAGAAGGATGAATTAGTAATATATGAGATTATGAGCCATATTTACAAGTCTGGTCCATTGATTTTCAATGCCCGGGGCAAAAGTAAAAAATGAGGCCTTTTTTGTTTAACACTTACCTCATTTTGAACAAAAATTATAACAAAAAGTTTCAAACTTAGGTGATAAGTAGGTTAGTTTAAGTTAAAATAAAAAAATTACCCATTATATGAAACCCCGTTATATGAAAGATAAAGAAAAAGGCCCAAAAAAGTTCAAAATAAAGTCCAAAAAGCATTACTTCCAACACATAAAAGGTATTTTTCGCTAGTATTCTTAGTGGACCGGCGGTGTTGGAGGCCCTGTGTCATCGCCCAGCCCGCACACCCTATGGGCCGGGCCTACATACACTACAAGGAAAATCCCTTTTAGCGACGAAACCAGTTGGTCGCTATTACATGATATTTCGTCGCCAAAGATAAATAGCGACGAATATTTTTGGTCACTAGGGTCGTCGCTGCAAGCTCGTGGCTAAAAGTACCATGCGACGAAACAAAATTTCGTCGCTAAAATAACTTAGCGACCAAAACACGTCGTCGCCAATTAGCTCCAAGTTGGTCGCCTATAGAGAGGGAGTTGCCGCCAAAAAACCAAAAATTCCCGCGAAATGGAATTATTTAGCGACGAAATATATGTTTGGTCGCCAAAGATGGGAGTTTATTTGTGGAATATGTTAGTGGGTTTACTGAATGGGCGACGAACAGATTGGTCACTAAAAACTGCTGTCGGATTGAGCGACGAAAAGAAATTCGTCGCCAAAAGTGTATAGATTATTTTTTTTGAGAGAAAACAAGCATTTGAGAGAAAAAAAAATTGGAACTTACCATGTGCCCAGTTGGTGTTTCTCCAGTATTTTCACATATGAAATCGGAGAAGACTGATAATGTCAGCACTGTTTGGGCCCAAATTTGGCACGCCGAAAACAAAAGCCCACACCATCTCCTAGGCCGCTTGTTTCAGACGACCTCAAGCCCATCAGCACGACCCAGCCCATTAAACGAGTGGACAGGCCAAGAACAATAAACCTGGCCCAAAACGTTAAGAGGCCTGGGAACAGT